TATTTAATCTAAAATGTTTTCTCGCAAAACTTCATTTAATTATTTAAATATATATATATAATAGATAAATAACTATTTTTATAAAAGAAAAAATTAATACTATAATACTTAATAATATATATAATATAAAAATTTAATTATATAATTCATTAGAAATTTTATTATACATACATATAATAATTAATATTGTACATATGTTTAATATACGGCACTTAATATATTTTAAATATGTATGTAATTTATGTGGGTCCCAAGAATTATTCTGATTTGAACAGTCGGAGCATAAAAGTATGTCTTTCTCGAAATTGTCTATGTGGTCGATGACATAATTTACGTATTATATAATGTTCCAAAGGATTTATCCCTCGATAGGATCATTCAAACATTGACCTAGAACGCATGTTCGCAATGCTTCGTCAAAGTACATTCCATCGTTGCATTCACGCAAAGCCTTTCGACCGACTTTGCACTCGTAGTATTTCTTGCACTCATACTCATGAGGCGTATATTCGTCTTCTGTGCACTGAGATATAATTGAAATTGAAGTCGGACTTGAAATTGGTCTTGGAGTTACTTGAAGGCAATCTGTACCTGGTTGACAAGTTTTTGTTAAATTATCAAAGTGGTTGCCGGCCGGACACTCAAATAGAGCTTTGTGACCTGCTACGCATACGTAGTATTTAGTACACGTACATTCGTGTTGCAGTAAATCGCCATTTATGCATTGCGGGGTCGGAGTCGGAATTGTCGGAGTTGTCGGAGTTGGAGTTGTCGGAGTTGGAGTTGTCGGAGTTGGAGTTGTCGGAGTTTGAGTTGTCAGAAAACAATCCGAAATCTCTAGTCTAACGCAACCATGCCATTTTTTGCTAAAGTATAGACCAGGGTTACAAGAACGCGGTTCCTTTTTACTGTTTTTACACTCGTAATACTTAGTGCAATCCGTTTCGTCAGTTATTACTGTCAATGGGCAAGTATCTACTACTGGACATTCATCAGTCAGAATCGGACAATCTGAAATTTCCCGACGGACGCAACCATGCCATTTTTGGCTAAAGTACAAACCGGATCTGCAAGAACGTAATAGTTTTTCACCGTCTTTGCACTCATAATATTTATCGCATTCCTTGTGAGGTATTAATTTCGACGGGCACTCATTTTGTACTGGACATTCAACATTTTGGTCTGGAGTCGGAATCGGCGGGAGTTGACAATCTGAAATTTCCCGACGGACGCAACCTTGCCATTTTTTGCTAAAGTACAGACCGACTTTGCAAGAAAGTAATTGTTTATATCCGCTTTTACACTCATAATATTTAGTGCAGTCCGTTTTGTGAGATATTAATTTGTGCGGAAAAATGTCTAGCACTGGACATTCGTCTTCAGTTTCAAAAATAATAGGTAATTTACTCGCAGTGATCACGGTCCAAGATGCCAAAAAGGCAATGGCGATTAGGTGTATCCCTGTGTTAAACAACAAAATATCCTGTTTAAAATTTAATTATTATTGCAATTTATAAAATATCAATTATTTGTATATAATTTGGATTATATACAAATAATTGATATTTTATAAATATTTAATGATCCAAATAATCTCATTGCAGTATATAAAACTCGATGTCTCTATTACTGTAGTTATTATTTTATAAAAATTTATCAATGCTTACCCTTCATCGCCTGTCACCTATTTTATTCTTAACGAAGAAAGATTTGTCTTAAAGAGAAGACAAATTTCGTATTATTATATATAAAAATATCCTGTTAACACCTCACTAATTAGTCAGTTAAATGCATGACTGAATGAATTAGAGAGCGTCGCTTTTTATAACTACGTTATCGTATGAAACAAGGACAGATTATCATATCTGTTAAAAAATAGAGCTATCTTTATTTCTTTTGAGACTTTAGATATTCCAGATTTTCACGTATTCTCACAGTAGATATATATAAATTTGTCTAAATTCAAAGAAAGCAAAAGATTTAAATTTAATAACTATATCATAAAATATTTATTACAATGTTATAATAATTAATATACATATGCATAGAAACCGCAAATAAATAATTAATATTTCAATTAATAATAAATATCTTATATACATATAAACATTACAATTTACGTACTTATTTATATAATATATAAATGTATATGTATTTATAATATATTTATATAAATTACTTTTACTTTATTTCTTTAATTATGCAAAATTATATCAATATATTAATTACTATAATTATCTTGATATTTTATTATATTAATATGTATTTGTTTATTTTAAATAATAAAATTTATTATAATTTTTTGTATTATTTGTCAAAAGTTTTTGTTGGAAAGACTTTTAGTATTTCAAATATTCATATAAAAAATTTCATAATCTTGCAAAAAATTATTTTTTTTTAAATCCGAAAGTGAGAATTACAAAAATTATTAGACACATAAACAAAAAAGAATTATTGCCTGTGTGCATTAAACTTGACTACGAACAATGAAAAATTTATACATAATTTATATATAATTAATTATGAATTGACAATAAGTTTTATGAACTTTTATAAGGAAATGATATAACTAGATAATGATATAAGGAAATTGGAATTTTTATATAAAAAATTTAATTTTCTGATTAATCAAGAGCTGAGAGACTTATACTTTTATTATAGATAACAAAATGATGAGTATGAAAATAAAATATTTGTTAAGATGTCAAGGTAATTCCTGATTAGATAGCGATTACGAAAAAGTTTTGTTATTAAAATTTTTATTATTTTACCCTATGAACTTTTCATAGATTATAATGATTCATATAATTAATATAGATCGAGATGTTCACTAGAACAGGAATTTATACACAGTATAAACTACACATATAAAATACATATAAACTACAAAAATAAAATTATTATCACCATAGATAATTAAAATAAGCGTCACTTTTTATCAAAATTATAAATAACTATGGTATCAAGTTCATCGAATAATTTGATATAATCTTTTATTATCAGTCGAAGCCTTGAAATTTGAAAGTGATGATATCTTAAATGACGAATATTATCAAAGTACATATGTGACATTTCATTATCAAAATATGTAATCAGCACTGATACAATACGCAACTTAAAAGAAATTTAAAAAATTATTTGCTTATAATTGAATTAGTTAAGAAAATAAAATATCTTCATAACTTTTAAATTTTTACTGCGACGTACGTTTAACAAGATTATTTCTTGTTATGTATGTTACATTCAATTCTATATTACAGTACATTTTTACCACAGTATTGTTGAGCTACTTTGTAATTATTATTACAACATATACCATTACTTATATTTAAATGAAATTTTGAAATATATCTATCTTTGTCATCAAAAAAGGAGTAAAATTCCTTTCTTTTTGCGGAGTGAATTTAACTTTAAAAGAGTTAATCCCATCCCAAAGAAAGAGTGAACATCTGTCACTCGTATTTAAAAGTACATATATTTCCACATTCTTTCAATAGTAGCAGTATAGTTTCATTCCTTTAGACTAAAATTTTACTCCAAAAAATGTAGAGAGTACAAATTTGTTCAGGTAAAATTATTCTTCGAAAATTGGCCAAATTTTCATCTTTTAAGATACTTTTGCAAACGAAGCATAGTAATTTCATAAATGTATACATATACAAGTATACAAAATTAAAAAATTTTAAAATCTGACACTGTACGTCAAATTGCTTGAATCGTTCTCTGAATTAACGTGTTATAGTTTTTTCCTCGATGTAGCACCGCGGCGATGCACCTGATTCATATATTTGCACGAGACTTTGAGAATTTTAGATAATATGGATGAGCGTACATGGTTAATTTTTATACTAATAGATAGCTTTTGAAATTCTGTACATTTTGTATATTAATGATATCTATTATTATATACTTTATTTAAAAGTTATAACCAAAAAATGAAAATTTAGCTGATTTCTGAAGACTGATTTCGCTCATTAAACGTTTAGCTGCGCTGATAAAAAAAAATATTTATCAAATATTTTTATCCTCTACAAACCCACCAATTTTCATTAAAATCGGAGAGGGACACCTGGAAGCCTTTCCTTGTAATAGTGACTAATCATGCAAGATACATATCGAAAAATCTCTTGATAACGATAAGAAAGCATTATTTGTGTAACAGAAAATTGTTTAAATTAGTTTTTGAATCCATCAAAGTTTATCTCAAGTTTTTATAAAATGATAAAGTAGTTCTTTATTCTTTATATACAAAATTATCTAGAAAAAAATTAAAATTAGAAATGTATTCTATCGCTATATTTTTAAGATATCCTTTAATTTTTGTACAATATACACTATAACACTATACACTTGACATCATATAAATATTTTGACATTTATTAGTTAAGTTATAAGTTATAATTATATTGTAATTATATATATTGTGGTAAAATGGATAAAAAATTTGTAATTTTTTTATCTCTTTCAACTTTGGACACGAAATACATCGGCGCCGGTTACATTGGTATGTATATTTTAAACGTGGAAAAGAAATTTTTCTTCTGTGAAATTTTTCTACTACGAAGAAATTGAACAAAAACAAAAACGCTAGTTTTATCAGTAATACAAGCGGTTCCAGGATTTCTTAAGCGTCGCAAGTCACAAATTTGTTGCAACAACCAATCCGATGTGTCAATTAGAAGTCTGAGGGTGCTGTCCCATGATACGGAAATTACAACGGAACAGTGAGACCAATCACAATCGCAGAAAGGAAAGTAGAGTAATGATTGCAGAGATCT